GCAAGACTGGAAGGCTAGCAAGCCTTGCTGCAGAGATGACACTATCATCTGGTGGCCACACCAGGTTTGGCACCTTGCAGAAGGCAAAACCAGGCAGTCAGACTTACTGAAGTGAGAGCAGTGGGAAACACAGGTATTTGGTAGAGTTTGTCAAGGAGGGGATCCTCACAGGATCCCCTAAGGTTGAAACACTGGATGACACCAGAGGCCTTTGAAGGTATGTGCAAAAACTACACGCTGCCCATGGAAGAGTGTAGCCTTGATTGTTGGGTAGAATGGGTTCAAAGGCATAACAAAGACTGAAAATAACATATATTCAGCTCCAGTAAATAATCCCATACATGGTGAAGGCAGGAAGGAAATAAGAAAGTATAAAAATCCCCTGCGACAACAGGAAAAAATGAAGAGAGTAGAATTTCTCCTGCACCATCTTCTCAGGTAAGGATATCATATGCAATCACCAGTTAAACAGCAGCACCAGTTAAACAACAGCAGTTCCTCCTCTGGATTTCGGGGGAGGACTGTTGCTTTAACATCTTGTGAATGACGACTCAGCAATCACATGTAAAGTAACACCTCTTCTCACAGCATTAGCTTAAATAAACCGGGATGTTAAGGTGCTGTTTGATTGTGTTTTGTTTTCTACTTCAACCTTCCCACTCAACAAAGGGTTTGATACCCCAGCACAAGAGCAGAGTAAACTTGCATGGCAGAGCTGTGGGAGAAACCATTTAGTGGAGGAGAAACACATTTCACAACAATCTTTCGGTCTGAGATGGGAGTCGTTCCCATCAGCACCTGAGATCATATACCCCTTGCTTCAGCAAGGAGTGTGACTGCCACAAGATAACCAGTCTGATTTTCCCAGACATACCACTGCAACTGAGCAGGAGTGAATACAAATTGCTGGCATTCAGCCTCTTGGGAAGCAGGGGTTAGGAATCCTCATAGGCCAAGTGCTGCCAGGTGGAGCTCTGTGGTGCCCACGTCTCCACGCAAGAGAGCTGCAAACCAGTGCCCTGGGCAGGCTGTGGGGAGATGGCCCTAGCATGTGCCTTTTGGGTCAAAAGCATCCCTGATGGACTGCAAAGGGCAACAGCCATTTGGAAGGAGGTTTGGAAAACGAGCTTGTAAGGTTTGGAGTGGTTCAGCATTCCTTGCAAGAAACCTCAGACAGCTTGGTCAAATACACTTCAATTTTCCAGTGACTGTTATTAAGTGTCTATAAATAATAGATATTACAGACTCCAGAAATAACTTTTCCACACTAATAATTTGCAGCCATTTTGCCATGCCCAGTATCATGTGCTGGCAGAAGTGAATTCTCCAGTTGTTGTAGCTGGCTTTTCAAGGGTGGTGGTGAGGGGGCACTACTACCCAGTTTGAATTGAGTGATCTGATAAAATTAGAGCTCTATTAAGCAACTGATTAGAACAAAGACATCCTTCAGCACATTCCTGTTTTATAATAGGCACAAGAGTGTGATTGCTCAGATACAATCAATATGATGAAAGGAAAGGAACCCGAATGGGCTAGTATAAATTATTACACTAGCAATGCTACTCCCAGGTTTGCTGCAAGCCTTCAGAGTGATTCCCAATCTCTCTGTGACCTTGTAGTAAAGTACACAGGTTAACAGCAGTTACCGTCTGTATTGATCTTTAATGCCATATTGTTTTCCATGGGGATAAGAGGGACGGCTCCAGTGCCCTTGAGCAAGAGACAGCTCCTTGTTCTCCCATGGTTAGCTGCAGAATTGCTGCTGCCCTTCCAGGCCTGAGGTGGCTGCGTTTCAGAAGCGCCCAGTACATTCATTATGGATCACGCACGCTGTGATTCCTCGTGCTGAGAGACTTGCAAAAACACACGCTGTGCAGGGGGAGACTTCAGGGATGAGCTGGAATGAGTGCCCAGCTCTCAGCAGTAAAGCGTTACCACCCCAGAGCTAGGAGAGCTCCTGTTCAGGCCCACGCGTGCGCACGGATGCGCTTCTACGCTGTTGCAGCACACACGGGGGAGGGAAGCACTTCTTGTTACAACAATTCTGCATACCAAAAAAGTTACAAATGTCAAACCAGGAATGTTTTATACTCAAGTTTGATTATATTTTTTTTTTCGGGGGGGGGTGTCAAAATAAGTATGGATATATAATAATGTAGTTTGTTCTCTTTGTTAATTTGCATAAAATCTTTACTCAAGTAGATCCTTAAGATTTTTATTCTCATTAATTACGTGTATTACAATAGCAGCCAGAAGCCTCCGAAATAGTGCCCAATGCTTCGGGCCCCATTGTACAAACATGTTATAGAACAGCCCCACCTTCAAACCGCTGACAAATGAAATCATAAGGACAAATAAGTTCATTTGGGGTCCACGTCTAAGCAGCCAGGCAGAGGCCTGGGGAATGTGCAGCATGCTGATGAGTGTGATATGGCTTCTTCACTTTTGAATAGACTCTGGAGGAAGAAAAAGATCCTGATCTATTGGTGCATTTCACATAAGGGAGTGGCCACAGTGTGGAGATCATTATGACCCATTTCTTCATGTTTGCTGATGATCCTGGTTTCAACCCTTGCTCAGGATCTTGTGGTTCAGCAAATGAAAAATGTGTCCTCACTGAGGACAGGTAGTAAACTTCCCATTGTCTTCTCTGAAATCAGGATTTTGAGCCTGCTTTCTCGTGGCAGAATCAAGCCAAGGGAAGAAAGAAGCTGCAGAGGGAGAAAAGAGGAGGAGACAGACCTGCAGACAGGTAGTTTACCTAGAGCTGAACACAAGAATTCAGTCCCTCCTGCCCTGTAAGTGAGGCTGATGGAATGCCTCCCAAGAAAATATGACTCAAAAAATGAAGTGGGAAAATATCTGCATCGCCTTGCATGAACATGATGGAGGGTCTGTTTCCTTGTCCCTACTGCAGCAATGCCTAGGGGATACACAATTAGGCCAGAAGAGGCTAGGAAGAGGTTGCTGTTAAGGGATCCAGCAGGAAACACAAAAGAATACCACAGATGAGAGCGACCCTCGGTTACACCCCTTCAAAGAAGCAGAAGTAGCTTGGGCCATCACTGAATAGGACAATCTACTTGCCTGGCTGAGTCTAGGCTAGGATGGTCTAATTTTCTGAAGGCCATGCAGAGGTGAAAGGGAAACTGGTTGTTCCTGCATAATTTTTACCAGCCACTCAAGAGAGAGTCTTGTACATCTGTGCTGAACTTTGCATGCCAGACATATAAATAATGCAGAATTGTTCTCCTGAGAGGTGAAGGTGGCTAAGCCTGTCCTTTTGTTTTATGGAACAGGTCACATTGACACAGTGGTGACTTTGCCAGCTTGATAGGTGCTCTTCACCCACGGAGAAGTACTTCTGCAAACAGAGCAGCTATGCAGTGAACCCCTTGCTTTAAACCCTCCTCAGAGAGGATCCCTCCTTATCACAGACGTTTTCAGTCAGGGTAGATGAGATCACACTAGATAAGAGATCCCTTTGCTGTCTGACAGGAAACAGGACTGGACTTCCTGTAAGCTCAGACTGAAGACAGCAGCCTCCTGCAGTGCTCACATGTGCCAGAAAATTATCCCTCGTCGAGAAATCATTAAAAATATAATATTTTCCTCTTGGGATTTCCTTGAGTCACTATTCCCTTCACCTTTCTCTCTCCATAGTGGCTGCCAGAGGAGGCTGCAGGATAAAGGACCTGAACTTAAGGCAATTGAGTATCTGAGACTCCCTTCTAACTATAACTACTATTACTCTTTAAATCCAACCTTTTGGTCCCATTGCTTATCAACTCTCAGTTTGACAGTGGCTACACTCCGATTTCATCTTAGACAGGCCAAGCTTTGGAAATAGCTTCATGCTGCTTACATAAAACTCTGTTTACTAACAAAAATATCAGAGGGAATGACAAAATTGTTTGGGCAGGTGAAAGAATGTGTGTTTGACCACGACCAAATTCTCCATCTTTGAGTAATCCCTCCCTCTCCTGTCACTCAGGTAATGTCCACAACTGGTTATTGTAAACCCTTCCTCCACCTGCTAATATCTCTGTGTCTTCAGTGACATTATTCATGCAGCAGCGTGCTGGGCATGTATCACTCTTATCTTCAGAGATCTGAATTCCTTTGGTGAGGTGCAATAAAGCAGAGGTGAATTAGGGTTCAAAACTGTAAATGCTCTTTGCTCAGGAGTAATCAAATATGCTTGTAAGGCATATCAGCTCTATTTTGCCTGTTGCCATGCACATGGGGCAGTGTTACACCTATTCACACCCACAAGATAATAAGGGAGAGAACAGGATCCTGGCTCTGGTTTGAGACTGGAGCATCTGCAGTCTTGGGGAAAGATGGGAAAGGCTGACAGCACCTGCCCCATCCCCATGCGGAGGCGAAGGTGGGCAGCAGCACTAGGCTCAGAGGCAGAGGTGGCCAACACTTCCTTCCACCACCAGAGGCTTTGAGGAGGCCCAAGACCCAGCCCAATAGCAAAATGGGTGCAGCTTAGTTGCAAAAAGAAAACCCCAAGGTGGAGCTGAGGGGCCCCTTTCGGTGCGGTCCTGCACCTTGTCGTCCCCTCCCTGGGGAGCACCCAGCACACCCGGCCAGCAACGCTGCTCTCCTCCTTGCAAAGCTGTGGCCTCAAGGGTCTCCTCAGCTCTGCCGCTCAGCCAGGGAGAGGTGCCAGGGGCAGAGGAGGAGGTGGTGGGCAGGTGGGGAAGCCCATTGCCCCGCCAGGGAGACGGGCAAGCCCTGCCACTGCTTCTGCAACAGGGGCAGCCCGCCCGGCTTCAGCCTGCACCGGTCCCCACTGGCAAGTAACCCCTCAGCGAGACCACCACCACCTGCGCCACAAGGGTCCTTTCTAGCTGCAAAATTTCCCAGGAGACACCAGAGGCAGCAACAGTCTCCGAATCTGCCACAACACCCGCGATGCTGGCAGCCCCACGGCAGCCCCAACACCCTCTTGCAGGCTGCCCAGCCCGCAGCGAGGACACCAGCTTGCCTCAGTTCAACACCTTCTCGGAGGAGTGTCCCAGCTTCCCTTCCTCCTGCATGGGCTGCAAGGCCTGGTCGTGGCCAGACCTGGCCAGGGGTCTGGCAGGAGGCCACGGCCTCCCGCTCCCCGTGGCCGGGCAGGCGCCCTGCAGCTCGGCACACTTCTCCTTGTAGTGCTGGGCGTTGCCGGCAAAGGTCTCGCAGCGGCTCAGGTTCTCCTCCTGCACCGGGCTGCCCACCTTCTCCTCGCTTGGCCCCGAGGCCGTTGCCCCCTCCTGGGAGTTCTGGCTAAGGTAGACAACAATGATGTCGCCCTTGAAATTCATTACTTGTCCACTTGAGATAAAGGTGGAGTTACTGTTTCCAGTCACATTTCCTGCGGAAGGAGGGGGGAGAAAAGAAGACATGCGTGATTAATATTTTCCCCTCATGAGATGGACACTTAGCGCGATGAACTTTATCTGCTCTGGTGGCTTTACTTTTGTTCCATTATATTTTCCCCGTGACATGGGGATGCTCTTATAATCAATGCCTTCCACTGGACCTTTTCATTATTTCCATTTCTGTCTCCTCAGGATGAAGCCCGTCATCCACAGGGAGCCTGTCTGGAAGACTCGGAAACATCACCTCCCTCAGTTGTGGTCTGGGAAAGTGAGAGAGGGCACAGTCACCTTGTGCTTCCCGAGCTGCGCGATGCACAAGCTGCATCCAAACTGCCTCCACCCCCCGCTTCTAAGGAAATGGTCATTATTTCTAATGATGAGATATTATTTTTTTAGAGTTCCAGACATCACATCGGTTTGGTTTTTTCTCTTTGGTGAACTATCAAGCCTACCATGTGGGTTAGGTAGCAGGCCCAGTGAATACATACTGAGACTCAGCATCAAAGCATATAAGCCACACAGTAGCCAAAGGATATGGAGCTAATACGGTTATCTTACATCATCCTGGTCCTCCATGTAGATACATTCTGGTACTCATCTAGTGCCTCAAGGATTTGCCTGGTTATAAACTGACTCTGGTGAAGAGGTAGAGTCTATATTATAGCAATCTAACAGAGTTAGGGTTTCAGTCACTCTACCTGCAGTTGGAGATTTTTCAGTACAAATTCAATCTTTCTGCCATTCAAGGCAGACCCAAGTCACAGCAGAACCAGGCTCTGGGAATTAATAAATCTCCCTCAGAGCAGGAAGAAGAAAACTGAGACCAAACTTCCAACAACAAACAAACTTCTCGAAGTTTCAAAATTAAACAAACCGAAGCAGCCAAGTGGAAACAAAAAAATCTTCCTAGCCTACAAAAACTCTTCCTAAAAAACGCTTTTTTCCTGCTGTGCTTCACTTAATCATTACTTGCAGATTCATCTGACACCTTTTAGACATTTTGTGCCTTTCCTCATTACATTCCTCAACCCCTGAGAAGTTCCCATTTTCATTCAAGCTAAGCATGGCCCAGCCCAGAGAGATGCTGTTTTTCTAGTGGCCACAGGGGATGTTTGCACAACAGCAATGGACACTGGGGTCCAGTTGTGCCGAGTTAAGACCTGTGCCTGCTCATAACCAAGTCTGAGTAGCGAGCCTCTCTTTAATAGCTGCCCCCCCACCCCCGCCCTCGGGCAATCCTATTTATTGTAGCTAAACCACTGCATTGCTAGCTCTTTGCTTTCTTTCCAACTGTTGTTAATTAACATGAGGTGTCAGCAAGAATTTTCTCTGCAGGAGTTTTTCCCCTGCTGGTTGCTTCCCCTGTGTTCAACTCTGTTCGGCTGTTTGCCATCAGCACAACTCTTAGGCACAAAGGGAGTACAAAAATAACTGCCTTTATACAGATTGCCTGTCACTCACAAAAGGTACTGTGGAATGGTTACCAGTGCTCAGTATGGGTTCAAGAATTTAGAAATAGATGTGACAGTGGGGAGGGAAAAAAAATAACAACCCACAACACAGATTAACACATTTATAACGTTTAGTTGAATGTAGCTGACAAATCTTCACTGCTTTCTGAAGACCCTGTGCTGAAACAAAAGTATATTTGAGGCCCAAAAGCATAGAAAATGGACACAAGAGATTCCTAGACTGCACTAAGAGATGTGTTCCCAACCTGGAAAGTGTAAGGGACACCTTCAGCAGGTAAGTGAAGGCATTTTTCTACACATGCCCCACATGTAACTTGAGGTGGTCATGAAATGATGCTTTGTGTTCAGACTGCCTCCAGGCTTGGGGGGGTTTGAAAGAATGCTTGAAGGCTTACCTCCACCTCTGGCAGTGACTCCTGTAAATAGAATCATAGAACTATTCAGGTTGGAAAAGACTCGTGGGATCACTGAGTCCAACCATCATCCCTAACCTACAAAGTTCTCCCCTAAACCATATCCACCAACACCACATCCAAATGACCCTTAAACACATCCAGGGATGGTGACTCAACCACCTCCCTGAGCAGCCTATTCCAGTGTCTAACCACTCTTTCTGTGAAAGCATTTTTCTAATGTCCAGTCTAAACCTCCCCTGTTGCAGCTTGAAACCCTTCCCTCTTGTTCTGTCGCTAATTACCTGTGAGAAGAGACCAGCACCAATCACTCTTCAAGGACCTTTCAGGTAGTTGTAGAGACTGATGAGGTCTCCCCTCCGCTTCCTGTTTCTCAAACTAAACATTCCCAGCTCCTTCAAGTGTTCTTCATAAGATTTATTCTCTAAGCCCTTCACCAGCTTTGTTGCCCTCCTCTGTCCTCGCTCCAGCACCTCGGTATCTCTCTTGAATTGAGGTGCCCAAAACTGGACACAACACTCCAGGTGTGGCCTCACCAGTGCTGAGCACAGGGGGACAATCACCTCTCTATTTCTGGTCACACTATTTCTAATACAAGCCAGGATGCCATTGGCTTTCTTGGCCACCTGGACACACTGCTGGCTCATATTCAGCCGCTTGTCAATTAGAACCCCCCAGGTCCTTTTCTGCCAGACACTTTCCAGCCACACTTCCCCAAGCCTGGAGTGTTGCCTGGGGTTGTTGTGGCCCAAGTGCAGGACCCACCACTTGGCTTTGTGGAAGCCCAGACCATTAACATTAGCCCAATGATCTAATCTATCCAAGTCTCTCTGCAGAGCCTCCCTATCCTTATGCAGATAACACTCCCGCCTAACTTGGTGCCATCTGCAAACTTACTGATAATACACTCTATGTCCTTATCAAGATCATCAATAAAGATGTTAAACAGAAACAGTCCCAACACTGAGTCCTGAGGAACACCACTTGTGACTGGCCCCAGCTGGACTTGACTCCACTGACCACCACTCTTTGGGTCCAGCCAGTGCTTGATCCAACAGATCATGTGCTCGTCCAGGCCATGAGCAGCCAGTTGTTTTTTTTTATGAGAGTTCTAAGGGGAACTGTGTCAAACACTTTTTGGGGGTCCAGATAGACAAGATCCACAGCCCTTCCCTCGCCCAATAGTCGGGTCATCAGGTTATAAAAGGAGATCAGGCTCGTCAGGCAGAACCTGCCTTTCATTAACCCATGACTGGGCCTGATCCCCTGGTTATCCTCTATATGTCTTCTAATAACACTCAAGATGATCTACTCCATGACCTTCCCTGGTACCAAGGCCAGACTGACAAGTCTATAGTTTCCCAGATCCTCCTTTCTGCCTTTCTTATAGATGGGTGTTACATTTGCTACCCTCCAGTCCATTGGGACCTCCCCAGTTAGCCAGGACTTCAGGTAAATAATGGAAAGTGGCCTGGTGATCACGTCTGCCAGCTCTTTCAGCGCCCTTGGATGTAACCCATCCAGTCCCATAGACTTGTGTGTCTAAGTGGTGCAGTAGGTCTCTGACCACTTCCTCTTTAATTGTGATGACCTCATTCTGCATCTCCTCCCTGTCTCCTAGCTCATGTGGCTGTATATCCATGGAACAGCTAGTTCCACTGCTAAAGACTGAGGCAAAGTAGGTGTTGAGCACCTCAGCCTTTTCCTCATCCTTTGTTACTAAGATTCCCTTTGCATCCAATAAAGGATGGAGATTTTCCCTAGTCCTCCTTTTGCTGTTAATGAACTTACAGAAACATTTTTTATTATCCCTAACAGCTGTATCTAGTTTGAGCTCTAACTGTGCTTTGGCTCTCCTAATTTTCACCCTGCATAGCTTCACTTTATCTTTATAGACTTCATGAGTGACCTGTCCCCACTTCCAAAGGCCATAGACTCTATTTTTGTTCCTAAGGTCCCTATTTAGTTAGGCTGGTCTCCTACCCCATGTACTGGTTTTTTGGGCACACAGGGACAGCCTGCTCCTGTGCCTTTAAAACTTCTTTCTTGAAGTATGTCCAGCCTTCCTGGACTCCTTTATCCTTCAAGGCAGCCTCCCAAGGGACTTTGTCAATCAGTCTTCTGAGCAGGTCAAAGTTTGCCCTCCAGAAGTCTAAGATGGCTGTTTTACTAATCCCTCTCCTTGTTTCTCCAAGGATCAAAAACTCATGGCATCTGCCCAGAGGCCTACTTTGGTCCTCTAGGGTTGTTTCACAGAAAGGACAGAGTTTGCAATTTCTGTTGTCATTTTAATTGGTACGGAACTAAAACCAAAACCCATGACCTTTTTCTTCCTATTTTTCATCCACCCTCTTTTGTACCATTCTGTCTGAGCATGACTATGTGCAAAGCCTGGTGGTCTCTGTTGCTTTGAGAAGCTAGACAAAAACTTATTTGGCATGCATATGTATTCCCTTTGGGTGTCTCATTAGACCCAGCAAAATGACCCATGCATCCATAGCTCCACATGCAGCCCCAGTATGGTCAGGGTGCTTCAGTGCAGAATCTATGGCTAAGCCCTTGGGCAACCAAGTGTCACCCGTGGGGCACAACCATTTTGTGGACAGAAAAAACAACCTCTGCCAGCAAGCCACGCTACCTACAGATTAACTCACACTCTCATGCTGCCCAGACCTCAGTCAGTACCTGCTGGCAGCCATGCCTAAAAAATGGCAAATCAGGAACACTGTATCTGTGCTCAGGTTTCAGCAGGTGGCACTATAGCATGTACGTACCCAAAGGCACGGAGTTAAGCAAAATCCCATATAAAAAATTGTGCTGCAGATCTAAGAAGGCACTTTCTAGCACATCACTTAAATCCAAGCTCTCCTGTTTGCCCTGCTGTTCCTTAATATTTTTTTTCCCCTACATGAGAGATTTAGAAAGAAAAGCAGTACTTCTGAAATGCCAGATATGACTTGGTTTTCAGTGGTTCCTCATAGTCCCTTTCCAACAACAACAAAAAAAGATAATATGTGTTCTCTTTACGACTGCTGAATTTTGTACAGACCTGGCAGTGATTTTAGGAAACTGAAGCAGCAGAAAGAGTATCTGCTCTTAGAAAGATGAACACTACATACTTTCAGATTCCCACAAAGCATGCCATGTTAAAAGGGGAAGGTCCTTCAAAAGTGTGGCTTTTGGGCTTTGGCAGACTGACAAGAATGCCTCTGTAAGAAACTTTAAGGCCATGGTTTTAAAGAAGGGCAACTGTTTACAACTGCTGTGATGTCTTATAGTAATATTTAGACATCCCAGTCAAAACTAAGGTCTCACTACGCTTGGCAGTGCACTGACATAAATAAAAATAGAGCATCTGACTTTAAGAGACTATAATCGAAAATAACTAATAACCCATGATGGGCAGATTGCAGACTTTTATACTGAAAAAAAAGTCTGAGGAAAGGTTCCATCCAGAAAAGGCTCATAGCTTCCCTTCTGCTAGTTTTACATCAGCAATTATTTTTTTCCTTGCTTTCATTTGACAAATTTGATATATTTATTCAATGGGTAAATTGGTAGTCAGTAAATTAGTGATGGTGCTTCAGAGTCGTTTAGGGGACAGAGCACTTGTGTATAGAGAAACAAAGTCTGTATGGAACTATTTTTAGGCGAACACTTACGTCCTAGCAAATTAAAATAAAGAGAAAGAGCTAAAAGCAGAAAATTGGACATACTCTCTTAGACCCAATTGTGGTCATCAGGTTACAGCTGCAGCTGGAGTTTCACTGACCACCATATAAATATAACTGGACTTAAACCTAAAGGCAAAAAATGGTATGTGCAATGTTGAATAATATGTGTGAGTCGTATGCATCCCTTCTTGACTTGGCCTCTAGATCCCTATACTCTCCTCTTTTTAAGTGTTCTCCAATATACACACCTGCTATCACCAAAATACTTCAACAACAGAATGGCCTTTGCAGTGACAGCCAGAAGGTGGGTTCTGTATTGCTAGTTAGATCAGGGCAGGACAATGGTCCCTCACAGTACTCATCCTATCTGCAGAATTCAATACAAACCAAATGGCCTTGCTGTTTCTTTTTTGTCTTTTAGATTAACTTCAGGGCCATTAAGTGAAGAGGCATATTTTTACTCTTCTCTCCCTCACCTAAATCACACCCACTAAATAGTACTGAGCTAGCACAGAAAATAACCCTATACAACCATACAGGTCAAGCCTAATGTGCTTACCAGATGCTGGAGGGAGGTCTGAAGTGCTGCTGTTTGTCCCTGAAGTGCTTCTGTTTGTGTTCTGGTACTTCATGTTGCTACTATCCGAAGATGCATCTTCCATACTATGATCGCTCGCTAGAGTGCTCTGACCAGCAGAGAGAAAATTCAAGCCACAGCTGCACTGTGCACAGGATCCAGTTTCTGGAGAGGTGGAGGAACCGTCAGCTGCAGGACAACAGGGCTTGCTCCACTTTCTGGGAGATTCCCTGTATGAAATGCCACACCTCACACAGATCTTCTCTGAGTCATAGTTTGTTGCAAAACTATCTGTGTCTTTGTTGCCTGTCTCCTTCAGGCAACTGTGGGCGTGTTGGCAAGATTTCTGAAGAAGTTTGTCCGTGACAATATGTGGCCCAACCATGCTGGGGGAAGGATGAGAGCTTTGAGAGAGCGATACATCCTCTGAGCTCCCAATCCCTGAGAAGTACTGATTTAAGCTGTCATTCTCCCCTGTCTCCATTGGTTCTGAAAATGACGACACAGTTTTACTGACAGTTTGACTCAGTAAAGATAAATAATCAATGGCGCTGAGATCCTTATCCGTGTATTCATCTTCCATGGGAACCGGTGGGAAGTTATCATCAGTCTCAGTTACCACAGAAAACTCTTGGAGGCTCCCTCCCACCTCGCACGGCACCAGGCCAGGGCTCCCGTTCCCGCAAGGAGTCTGGCTGCTGGTGCAGCCCAAGTTCCCAGGGGCCGGAGAGCCAGCAGGGCCCAGGAGACACGAGCCTTCAGAGGCCTGGGGGACAGCAGCATTCGGGGTGTTCATGGTAACAGACGCATCCCTTGGTGGCTCCTGAAATAAATTCAAAATAAAAATCGTGTTTAACAAATAGATCAGCCGAAGGTCCTTTTCTAGATAAAGAAGGAACAGAGTGATATTAAATCTTCCTCAATGTGAGCAGCACTGCTATATTTGAGTCTGGAAGTGTAATTCTGTTCTGCTGAGAAACTGTGACTGGTGATGCTGGGCTCAGTGGGTGTTCAAAGAAATACCTGCTGGCCTGGGGGCCAATAACATTTAATTCTGGGAGATGACAATTCTTAGTTCGTAAGAAGGCATTTGAGAATTAGTAAATCTAAAAGAGTCTCTGGATTCTGCTGCTCCTTACGGGCCACCGGTAACTGCTACCTAACTGCTTGTAAGGTTTGGAAATCCCCTGAGTCATCTGTGTGTCTGAAAGGCTGTTAATCCATGAAGGCCTTGCTGGGAGCAAAATCTTTATTATCGGTAATGACTGAAGAAAGAAACTGGGTTGATTCTGAGAGCTCAAGACAGGCTAGAAAAGAAGTTGTCACACAGGCAAGGTTGCTTTAACCTGGAAAATGTTAAGGCAACAAAGGCAAAGCCCTATGACGTCACACTGCCAGTAGTTGTCAAAGTAAAGCTGTATTTCTGGTTGCAGCTCCACAAAAAAGGGCTGGGAAATACTTCAAGGGTTCCCTTCAGTTCACGCAAGTGGTGTGGTAATGATGGGTGTTTGGGAACCGCTGCCTTTCATTTCTAGCGTCCGTTCAGATCTTCCAGGATGGAGGAGAGAGTGTAAATGCTGCCAGCCACTAATTGCTGTTGATTCACTCCTCTGTCCCAGAGGACTGGAGCAGCTGCCAGTGCAGGAGGTTGCATGAACACTTAGCAGACAAAAGAGGAAACTGCCTGCTCAAAAAGGTGGACTTGGGTTGGTTTTTTTGGTAGCAATAAAATTTGAGTCTTTCAACAGCTCAACTAGACAGAGCTCCTAGATGTGGTGGTGGGGAGAGCCTGCACCTGGGACACCTCTGTTCACATTCCATGGTGTGAAACAGGCAGTGCACTTGAACCTGTGTCCCATCTGAATGTTTTGAGAATGGAAATTGGGGCTGCTCTGGAGAAAAACTTATTGGAAAACCTTATTTTTTCTCAACTGAATGGACAGGAGGGATTTCTGTAAGCAGTAGAATTTAGGTGGGTCACAGCCAGTTTCTTTGTCTCATGGTTCTGTGCTTGGTTTTGTCCCAAATCCAGGTCTCTCCTCTGTGAGGACTCCGGTATGTAAAAAGGTGCAAACTCAACTGAAGCTTTTCCTGCTCTTATGATTAAGAAATGCTCTCTCCTAGGCAGTCCCAGGTGTTCTGCAACTGGTGGGCTCATGTTTAATTTTCTCCTCATAAATGTTTAATCACCACAGAGACTTTTCCCACTACTAAAATTGGCTGAAACCAGACATCAGGTTGAGAAGTTATTTGAGAATGGTGATATTATGTGCCTCACATTTACAGAAAACCAGACTGGAAAAGCCAAAACTGAGCATTTTTTGAGGAACTTAGAACTTGTTTTCTAGCCAAACATAAACATGGAGTCTGCTTCAGGAGGGTTGTCAGGAATG